AGAATACACAGAAAATGCATAAACATTTGCAATTCATACACTCTATCTGATAAATTATTACTATTACTAAGCGTTAAAAATAAATTTAAAAAAATCACTGTTCATGGCTGTGTGATTGCTATATAAAACCTTCGTGTAAAGAATTCTAGGTATGGACTTTGGAAGTGAGCACATCAACGTTTAGCTTCCATTACTAAGAGCGGAGTAACATTTCCAGCTGACCAACTCTCCGTAAAAGCGCAGGAAAGAAGATCAAATTTAATTAAAATAAGACTGTCAGCACTTTGTCACTGTCATTCTTTGATGATTTGTTCAGGACCGAAGGGTCATATTCTCATGGCTTGTTCCCTCGTATGTCTTGAGATTCAGTTATTAAACTACAAGTTGCCATCGGTGTCATCCTACAAGTGTGACGGAACCAATAACAGATGTGGAGGGTATATTTTTTTTATTGTATTATTTTTGTTTCTGAAGGTAATAGGATTTACAGCCATGGGTGGGATATTGATGAGATAAATCTTGTGCCCCGAGGACAGACAGACATGCCACAGGCACTATCTATATGCTCTGTGTCACACAAGTCATGCAAGACACTATCACGGTTAGGAATTTTTTTTCTCCTGTGCCATCATGTGAAAGCAAAACAGACAAGTTGTAATATTGTCTAGATACTTACTTGTCTTCATAGGTGAAACGGGAGAATATGTCAGCCTGATATTATCTCTCACTACTTTACCATTTACAAGCCTTGGCTATTGCAGTAGGCCAAAACTTACCTACCTTTGTATGACATTGTCCATTATTGATTTTTTATTTTTATTTTTTTTAGCTATCAATATATAGTCATTTTTGTTTCTCTTTCACTAAATAGTCATTTGCATTTCGCCTACAAGGGTAGAAACTTTTTATCAAAGAATGTTAGTGGTTTAATATGTCAATTTGACTGAATGGATTCATGTTGTTGTATGCGGTCCATCAAAGCAAATTGGAAATAGTTACAATAGTTTTCATATTAGTAATGATATGGGCAAGCAATTTGAAAAGAAATTGGCAAGTAAGATATACATTTTTGCAGGCTATGAATTATGTTTGACGGTAAACCTCGCTTTAACCACATATAGCAGAAATTCTACAAGGCAGCCGATTGCTTTTAAGAGCATTTAGAAGGTTATATTGCTATGGACAGGAGGTTTCGAGGTAAGGAGTAACACTTCTTCAGCGCAGTTGAATGTATTACTTTTGGGCATAATTCCCTCCTCTCCCCCCATTTTGTAATGAAGCATCAGTACATTATCAACTATTCAAAACCCGAGTGGGATAGAATGGTGTACAACATTGTAATACAAATAAATGTTCTCAAAATAATACAAAGTGACACTATTGAGAAAAAAGTAACTAAATACATTGGGGTCCCGTCTCCTAGCTTCAGATGTCTATTTAGAGGAGATCAAAGAAAAGTATACATTTTAGAAGGTTTTGGATATCGATGTCACTTTAATTATAATTTTCATATGGTATAAAGCTAATATATGATATGCATTGTGAGTATATGAAAGCACTATCGCTTCGTTTTGTTTGGACACTTTGTTGTTTATTGTGTTTATCACATTAATTTTGCATCCTATATATTCACAATGCTCTTACAACAGATGAATTAATTCCACTTTTGTTCATTTAGCACTGGTACTATTTAATGTGTCTCTCATGTTGGAATTAGTGCAGGACCCACCGATATCTTTAATGTGCGTCACAGGACAAGGACCCAGAAGAATTTTCTATTCTAGGCTTTATGGATAGATTTATATTCCCTCCCACAGCTACAACCCTTTCCTGGAAACCATGTAATTCTGTGAGTATTTTGGATAGCGCTGTAAATTGTTTACGATTTGGCAGAGAAATGTTAACAAAAGTAAACCGTTTATTGAAAATGTGACTTTTGACAACCCGGAATCTGGAGACGTTTCACCTACCGGTTGAAAGGGAATTAGTTGCAAGAAGAACATCGCAGGGCCCCCCGTTGTAGTGGTTGGGTTGTATATAAAAAAAACAAAATAACTTTTGGGAATCAAATGTTGGTAAGGGCAGGGGCTGAGGATCCCCTGAATGCTTTTGCATTATAGAATTCTCTGAGAGCCTGCAACCTTCTCTCGGGCTGGTTAAGTTATCGACAAGACAACTAAATTAGTCATTGCAATCTACATATAGTTCTGCATATGCACTTGTTATTATTTCCAACATAAAAAATCAAATTATTAGACTTAGTAAAATTAGGAAAAGTATTGAAACAAAAAAAAAACAAGACTGTTTACAGGAAAAATCATATGGAAAGGATTTTCCTCTTATGGAGGGTTTTTTGTGTACGGATTGTGGTATTAACGGCAACACAAAGGGGGTTAAAGCAATCTTCCAAAAGGAAGGACCTGACAAATAGACACACAGCCTGATTTCTCAACTTTTACAGGTACTTGGGAGGCAAGTGAGTGTAGGTATTAAGGTCTAGGAGTGCCTGGTTGTCTTTTCCTGGAAGCATGGCTTGCGTGCCAATGACATTGGACTGACCAAGTTTCCATGCCATGACGGAATGTCCGAGATATGTAGGTAGAGGGCTTTAGCAACCTCAGGAATGACCTCCGTTTTGTTGAATGGAGAGCTGTTGACCTTTATGAGAAATATTGAGACTAACAGGAGCATAGGCTTTTACTGTGCAAAGATTGAGTTAGTGGTTTAAGCATCCCGGTAGCTTGTAGTATGGAACAAGAACATGCATATGGTTGTGTTATCAAACTTTATAAACAAGGTGTCCCTGGTCTTTCTGAGCAATTCTCCCTTAATTTATAATAATTAAAGAAGCAAATAATGTCTCTAGGTGAGGAGGCGACATATTAAATAGCAAATGCTGCTTAAATATAGGCTGTTCGGCAGGGAGCTACAGAACTATGCTTCCTCGCAGCGTGGCAACGCGTGGCCCCTTTTTGGCATCATTCTGACATTGTAGATTCATGTTTCATTAGATAAGTCATATTCCCTATCCTTCGTATGCACTGCTGGCTCAGGTACCATCATGGGAAAAATGTTTGTCAGAGGCACAAAAAAAAAAAAAAAGGAAATATAGAATAAAAATGTTGCAATATTCAAGATGTGCAAACAAATTAAGATCATCCAGGTGCAGTGTGTATATAATGGAAAAAAAGAGTATTACTTTTTGTTATGGTGTAACAAAGGATTCCTCTCAATCCTCAAGAAAAATAGGCAGATAAGATACACCTAAGTATATATAAACAGAGAAAAAAACTCATAGGGCAGTAGCATTAATCAACAGACGGCCCCCTTTTTTTTTATATATTGCACTCACAGACTAGATGAATATTTCAAATAGAAAATCAGATTGCATTTGAAAAAAATAAATAAAATAAACCTATCCATGGATTCCTTACGGAGATTGCACCCACAATGCACGTCTGAAATAAATGTATGAACTAATTTGCATGTACTTTAGAGGAGCAGATTACCAAGAGCGGAATAGCATTTAAAGTATTGTCTACGTCCACTCTGGATTCCTGTATTAAAAATCAATTTAAAAAAAATCAATAAAACATGCGAACTACAATTACAAAGTTTTTTGTGATCAGTTCTAAATAGGGCTTCTTGTTTAAGATGGGATCTGAAAATAAGGTTATTCATGAGTATTGTAACAATCTTTATTTTTTATTTTTTTTAAATGTATATTTTTATCTCCATAGTGATATCTCACAACTCAGATTTTAGCTAGAAACCTTGGGATTTTACTATTTTATACACAACCTCTTTTAGCACCCAGTGGTTTTATTCCAGATATCTAATCATTATCCATGTGATGTGGAATAAGTCATTTTGTGGCTAATGTGATTTTAATTTTACTATGTCATTAGCATATACTGTGTCTATTTAAATATGATTTTAGTTGTAATCATTCTCACTACTTGCAGTTCCATTGCTACAAATGCTCAGTATCATTGCCGTTATACTCGTAGGCTGATTTAATTAACAGTAATATGGAAATAAGCACAATAGTGTTTAGTTATTGGGAAAATATACCAGTGATAATACATTTACAACTTTGACAGACTCTGATTTCTTCCCTTTCCCTTTAAATAGACAAGCATTTTTTTTTTTCTGATCAGGTAGATCAAAATTTGTTGAAAACCTTCCAATGTTAAAAAGAGAAAAAAAATCTATGTTTCTATCTATCTATGAAATCACACGTTTAATTTTATTCTAATCCATTCCAAGCAGTTTATAATTATATAGTACTATATAATTTCCCACTTTAAAAATTAAGGTACAATTTGGAAAAATAAATTATGATTAAATTTAATAATGGCTATTGCTAAATCGTAGTGAATTGAAGTCTGAATGGCAACATTTAAAATAGTAGAGATTACATTACAAATCAAGTGTGCTGGCCTTATTTTAATCCCATTTACTCCATAATCAACCTTAAGTCACACCTCTTACATAGTTACTTCAGAGAGTTAAATATTGACCAAGGTTTTGTGTATATTTAAATAGATACAAGTTAATCTTGTTCCGCATCTCTGACACCAGCTTTTCAGTTTAAAATCAGGTTTCATTTCAACCAGAACTTGTCAACATTCCAAGAATAGCTGAATTCTGAATAAACGTTTATAATAAGGCCCTTACAAGTCAAAGATGGGATGGTTAGGTACCCAGACCACCTCATCTCATTGAAGTGGTCTGGGTGCAGAGTCCCTGTCCCGCTTAGTCCTGCAATGTAAATCATTGCAGTTTTATAGAAACTACAAGGTTTACATTCCAGTACTAACACAGCCTCTAGACTTACATGAAGAGTGTCAGGTGTGAAATGTACCTTTTCTGGTTAAATACTTGAATATTAATTCATGACCAAGTCGTGTTCAATTACAACTTCCAAAGGGTTAATATTTCAAAGGGTCTCAAGGTAAGCACATTTATAGAATTAAAGTCCAGAAAAGATCATTATTAATCATTGTAACATGTAATTTGTTTTAACTGTACGTAATAACGGAGTTAAATAAAGTAATTATACATTGCATTGGTCTGCTGTGTGTCGGCCAGACTCCTCTTTGTCCACCCCTCCCTGCATCCACTCCCTACCTCCTCCCTCCCTCATTCTTTCCCCCTGCTCTGTCACCCTCCCCCTCCTGTCTCTATTACCTCTTCCAGGTGAACACAGGAAATACACCTGTTAGTTTGAGCTGCTCGCCTCTCAGGTGAACATAATCCCAAATAAATAAGATCAGAAACTGGCTTCTAAAACGTGATTATTGCAATTCTATCCAGAACGATGGACAGCTATATAAAAAGTACCCTGACATCCCTCTTCCTGCTTCAATATGGTAAGTTTAGTTTTACCTTATTCTCTCTCTTCTTGTTCTGAATGAGTCCAAAACAAACCCAAACCAAAGACTGAGCTGTTTATGTGTATCCGCTCTAACTGGTCTGTAGAAAAGTTTTCAGTTTGTTTTTTTGGCGTAACATTTGAAAATTCACTTTGAATTCCCAGAACTTTACACATATATACTTATATAGATACTTTCCAGCTCCCAGGAATCCGATAATTTAAAGGACCACTATAGGCACCCAGACCACTCGTTGAAGTGGTCTAAGTGCCAGGTCCCCCTAGTTTAAACACTGCAGCTGAAAAACTATGTTCACACTGCAGGGTTAATACAACCTCTAGTGGCTGTCTCTCTGACAGCCACTAGAGGCGCTTCCGCAATCCTCAATAAGAAAATCGCATTAAACTCACGTTGGACGTCTTCACGGAGTCCAGCATCATTTCAGATCCCCATAGGAAAGCATTTAGTAATAACTGAGTAATGCTTTCCTATAGCTGGTTTCAATGCGCATGCCTCTTTCCGTGCATGCGCATTCGGCTCCACTCAGGAGCTGACATCGGAGGGGTCACCAGCGCGGAAGGAGCCCGCCGCTGGATTAAGGTAAGTGGCTGAAGGGGTTTTAACCCCTACATCCCAGCGGGAGGGGGGACCTAATAACCCTATAGTGCCAGGAAAACTGATTTGTTGATGAATTCTATTGAAATATTTTATTTTTTTTATTACAATTTCTGCTACATTTTATAACAATTACCTGTTGTCTCATAATTTTAGCTCAAATAAGTAAGACCAAATTTAGGGTAGGGTTCTCCAGATAGGTTTGCTTTGATGTTGGCAGGTGAGCTTACACTCTAATGACCCCTGTAGTGGTACCAAACTATTTAAATGTACATATAGATTTTGAATGGTTTGCGGGTAACTTAGATTTTGTTTATAATTTGAGGCTTAAAAGAAAACAATCACTTCTGAGGATTTTAATATTGTTTGCTTGTCTCAATAATTTAATATAAAAAAAAATAAAAAAAATGTTATTCTGCAAATGGGCGCCTCAATCTTGTCTCTCTGCGAATCATTGCTATAGGCTCCTGGCAGTCAGCATAGAGAGAGCATACAGAGAAGAGGAGAAATTAAGCAATGTTGCTCCCTTCTCGCTCTCTATCTTTTTGTACCCATATGAGGTACCTAGCCCTCAGGGATTTAGCCTAAGGACCGGCTTTTTTTCCCACTATTTTGTCTATACTGTTTATTATACCGTTGTTACTATGTGTTTTTTATTGTGATGATTGCGTTGTATTTTGATCCACGTTATTCTGCTGTTCTACTTCTTATACTTATTGTATCTCCTGTGCGGGAAATTTATTTTGATTGTGTAATAATTTCTTAGTTTTTTCTTAAAAACTTGATTAAAAAATAAAAAAAAGTAGGTATACAAACTTTGTTAGTACCCACCTCTTTAGAGAGACAGTAATCAAGCCAGTTGTCATATTGTGTAAAATATTGCAGTGTGCCCAATGTTAGGTATGATTTGCATAGTTTTCTAAAATTGGTAGCAAAGGGGTTAAGTGTAAACACTCCTATTTCAACTATCTTGAATGACAAAGCACAATACATAGAGTGCTCCTTTAAACATTATAATTGCACATCAGACGTTTCCTCTGTGACGAAATATGGGGCTCGGTGCTGGGCTCTGTTACTGGAGATAAACTTAACTGTGGTAATTACATAACCGTTCTCCCATTGACTTCTATGGGAAAAATGGTAATCAGTGAGCAGAGATATGCTTATCCCATATAATAGAATCCAGCCTTAGCTGCCCAAGACCTGTACAGTTGGTGGAATTATGATAACTGTTGCACTGGCTGACTGCTCGCCATCCGGACTTATGGAGTTGTGTGAAAAAAAAGATGTTGTGCTCTACTTTACCACTGCAATAAATTCCTTACAATATAAACAAAACACATTTATGATGCAGTATGTTAAAGGGACACTATAGTCACCCAGACCACTTCACCTCAATGAAGTGGTCTGGGTGCGAGGTCCCTCTAGGGCAGGGGTAGGCAACCTTTAAGCAGCACTGTGCCGATATAGGATTGTGATGTCCCATAGCGTGCCGGTCCTATTTTTTTAAATTGAGGTCTGTATGCTGCCGTATTCTGCTTGTGTTATTTATACTGTAATTGTTATGTATTGTGCCTATATGAGCTATTATATTGTATATGTTCAGGAGTAGTTTGTAGTATCGTGTATGATACATATGAATGTGGGCTGTGTATGGGGGTTGCTTGTGGAATTGTGTGTGTGGATGGATATGTCACATTGTGTGTTTGGTAGTTTGTGTATGTGTGGGGGCTGTTTGGGGTATTGCATGTGAGAGGCTGCATGTGGGGTTGTGTGCATGTATGTGGATTGTTAGCGGGTTACGTTTGTGCAGATTGTGTGTATGTTTGTTTGTGGGCTGTTCGTATTATTTGTATGAGGAGAGGGTTATTGTGCATTTATTTGTATATCTAGCATTGTGGGTGGCTTCCCCAGGTTCCAGTGGGGTCCAGGCTGGCCAGGTACAGGTCAAGGACAGGAGCTTCAACAGCAGCTGCAGGCTGCTCTACTACAGTGTGGATTCCCATTTACAAGTGCTGGGAGGAAGTGATATGAGATAATTATCACTTCCTCTACGTGCTGCAATGCATAAATTGAGGATTGTCCTTCACCACCTTTTTGTATTAGCGGATATCTGAAGTTTCACTGGGACTCCTGATAGGCCAGAGTGTGTTTGGCTCCAGCAGCCTTGAGTGCCGTGCAAAGACACCTTGAGTGCCGTGCATGACACTAGTGCCGTAGGTTGCCTACCCCTGCTCTAGGGTTAACTGCTGTTTACATTTGTGGTTAAGCCAGCCTCTAGTGGCTGTCTTCCGGCGGCGGGGGAGGGGAGGTAAGGGAGCCCGGCGGTGGAATAAGGTGAGTAACTGAAGGGGTTTTAACCCCTTCAGCACCACAAGAGGGGGACCCTGAGGGTGGGGGCACCCTCAGGGTACCATAGTGTCAGGAAAACCAATGTGTTTTCCTGACACTATAGTGATCCTTTAGGTTATTGTGTAAAATACGGGAAACTATGAAGTCAAATGCACATATTTAAGTGCCGCCTTTGGTAAAGAGCAAAGTTAAAACTCTATATTTCCTATTGACCAGTTTTGTTTTTTAGTCTTGAATGAAAACACAAAAATTGACATAGTATATCATCTTTTATAGTCCTGCCTCAGGACTATGGACCCTGCAATGTAACTTGCCCAATGTACTTTAAAAGGCTCCATCCTTGCGGTTTATGTACTTTTGTACTCCAGGCAGAGAGAATGACCGTTAGCCCTGATTCCCTGGAACTGTTTTGGGCATAGGACCATGTGCACGGTCGATCAAACTTTTGACTTCCAGGAAATCCCGAACCCCTGAGCCGATTTTTGGTCCCCCAGATCGGTTCTATCAGGGGATTTGACTTTTGGGGTTTCCATGTGTTTTGGGGGTTTTTTCGGGATACTGTGGAAATGTATGTTTTCTGTGCCTGGAGTAATTGAGTTTAGTACAGTTTCTGACTCAATTATCTCTCAGGCACAGGGGAGGGATTACCCTGTTTTGTCCTGGACCTCAGAGCCAATGTCATTATGTGTATGTTTTAATGTAGACTTCTCTCAGGTCCAGTGGGGAATGCCCCTTGAATATGTTATGGAAAACCCCTTGCATGGGAACCTGCATATAAGGAGTGTTGTGGCTGCCATTAAACAGTTCTCCTTCACCCTCAACATAGAGCCTCGTCCCATGCTTGGATGGAACAGCTATATTCACCCTGGGAATTGCTATACTCCTTATACACCCATAGAGTATAATTAGATTAGTTTATAACCTGCTTTACTCTCTGGATTAGGAGAGGTCTACCCACAGGAAGCTGAATCGTGGTATTGGGTCCAGGGTGGGTGGAGGACAACGAGACACCAACCAAGCTGTAATGCTGGAGGTTATGGTGTCAGGTGGAGTTCTTGGAAGTACTCGGAGGTACTAGGATGCAGCGATTGGCGGAGTCACCCAGTCAGGGTGCCAGGCATTCCGCCACACACAGAAACGCACTAAAAAAAGTTTGCATTCAAATGGTGCCATGGGACACATATAAAAACATATATAGTCAAAAAATAATCATAAAATACAATTTCGCATCTTGACCTTTTCTACAAGGGTAGTCTTTTACCACTCTGGGCGATTGATTCTCATAGAACCACCTCTATACTGCTTCTTATTTAGACTCTCCATTGTGGTGACGTGACCAGGTAATGTTTATTGCATCAATATGAAGCACTTGCATGGTAATAGATGAGAAACATGACTTCATATGGAACTGTGTTGCATTCATCATCATTGACCATGGCCCTGCAACGGACAGTCAGTTTGGGAAGCAGTATAGCGGTGGTTCTATAAGAATTAACAGCCCTGATTGGTAAAAGACTTCCACTGTACATATCGAACAATGATGGAAATGAGGACCTGTATTCTATGATCTGTGATTACTTGGAGAATATGTGAGTTTAAGTTATTTCTTTCCCTGAATTTTGCACAGTAATGTAATATTTTGCACCATAAATGTGTTTTGTTTGCACTGTTGTTAATTTATTACAGTGGTAAAGTAATGTCCAAGTGTAAAGTGGGAATACACTTGACTTGGTGGTTTATTGTTGCTCGGTCTCTTTAATATGCTATAAGCTGGCACTGTTATACATGTCTATCAGTCTTCTAAAACATACACGAGGCATTAATTAATGGTGGAATAAACACAGAGATTAGTCGTGTTGTAGGAGTCTCTGGAGACTTTTAATGTTTGGCTAAATTTGTCTTCATTGCAACAAGAATAAGTAAGATCTGTTTTTTATCTTATGTGTTTAGATCATTTATTTAGATAATAATGTCATGGGGATCACACTGCTTTCAAGAAATTGAAGCAGACACTAACTGATTTGTTCCGCCATAGATATTTAAAGGAATGTATACAGTACTCCGTTTGAGCACTGCACATAGCTAATTGGTCATCGGTTTAGTTGTCAACTAAACATGGCCCCAAATGTGAGAGTGGAGCCCTTGGTGATACTTGGGTCTCACTGGTACCATCAGGGTTGTAGCTTACTGGTACATAATAGGTATGACAATCCATGGAATGCCATGTGGTATCTAAGGGATTAAAGTTTCCTTGACACATTGCTACATATCTAAATATTATGACTGTGAAATTTACAAACCAACATATGTACGTACTCCTTTTGATATGCACTATAGCATCAATAAGTTGTCCAATTACTTCTTTATTCTATGCTGCTTTTCATAAAAAAAAGAAAAAATCCATTTGAAAAAAAAAAAACAAAGGAAAAAATTGGTACTAAAAGTAATATAAAATCATAATTCACCTATTCTGGAATAGGTAACGTTTTTTAAATCCACAGGTAGTACAAGAACGGGTAATTAATTTTTTTTTATTAATAATAATTAAAAAATATATATATCTTTATAAAACAAAGTACATGCACTTGCATGGTGGATTCCCTTTGCATGAGTTCTCTCAAAACTATTTCCTAGTAGCACCCATACATTATGACGTATGTTAGAGCTTGCACTTCTAGAATATAGAAAGAATAATCTCTGTGTGTATTACATTCATGCTGTTCTTTGTACAATTCTAAAACTGTCTCTTGCTCAGAAAAGCCACCCATGTCCTAGACCTGCCGAAAATTAACGGTTAGGGTTATTAAGAATCACAAATCACCGACAATTATGACATTTACAGTTAGGGATAACTGTAAACTAAAAAACAAATCCACACATCTTGTTCTGACCCTGACCCTTAAATATGTGCTAAGAATAATGGTCAATGCCATCATGATCCTAAATCTATTTCTGACCATTAACGTGACCCTACCTCTGCTGATTCTTGCTGTATGATGTCTGTCCCTAAACATAATTTTAACCCTAGATGTCATAATTATCGCTGCTTAATCTCACAACATCAGCATCACAACATCAGTCTGACCCTAACTCTGTTACTTGATCTCACAACAGGAGAGTAGACAGGTCTGTGGAATGCAAGATGCTACTGGTTGTAGACTTCATCACTGGTACCCTGTAATCTCTTTATCCTTTATTTGACTGCAGCAACATGCAGGATCTGTACTCCAACATTAACTTGCTGGATGAACGGTCCAAAATTCCTTTAAACCATCCAAACCACAGACCGCAAATATTACGAGGTGCATACCAGTGATGTGTGCTGCTCCAGTTAATTACTTTCTTGTGTTCTTAAAGATGGCATGGGTAGAAGAATATATGAGTAGCAAAGAGTTATTCCAAGATATTTATGTAAGGTTGGGGATATGATCTCTATACTAACAGCTGACTCACCATTGTGTTGCATAATAACTGATCAAACTCTCTGTCAATTTCTTTCAGCTTTAACCGGTGGACTGGGAGCAGCGATAAACATAACAATTACTAGCCCATCGAACTTAATGACAGGAAGTAACATCAACTTGACAATTGAAGGAAATGTTTCCGATGCATTGGTTACCTGGACAGTAAATGAAACCACTATCATAACTTTTTTTAACACTACTAAGATAACCAGTAAGAATTATGAAGGTAGAGTGGATGCAAGTTTAAATGACCAACTTGTAATAACGAACGCCATGAAGACTGACAGTGGTCAATACAAGGTCTCAGTAAATAAATTTGATGCATCTTCTGGAACTGGTAGTTCCTCATTCCAATTAAAGGTCTACGGTAAGGACATGAAACCTTTCTGCTGACAACACATTGCTAGTATTTATGTCAAGAGATGTATAGAGGAGGAAACCTTATAAAACATGCTGGAGCTGCTATATTTGTAGTTATCGTGTTGATTTCAAAAGTGTTACAATACTGGGTTCAGGATGCCACAGCACCTACGTCTAGTATTTTCCTTTATATAGAGCTAAGCAGGCCCATGTAGGATCACCATCATTGGCTTAGATCATCAGAGCCTCTGCTTGCTCTGTCTTTGAGCACAGTCCTACACCAATCAGGCTGTATTCTGAATTGACATTCAGACTTTTCCTGCAGGAGAAGACCAAATGTGATGCATCTGCATGATGGGACAGACGTAGCTTGTCCAACCATACTAAAATGATTTGATTATGTGCTGTGGGATGTCATCTCAGATGTGGGCTCTAGGGGGTTTGGAGTGTTCCTTTAAAGGATACTCATGCACAACACCTATGATGTACTATGGTAGCAATGCAATTATGCATCAATTCCAGTATACTGACTAAGAAATGGCGATTCAGCAGTTATTCGTCAACCAATTCACAGGGTTGGAGAACAATTAAATATATCAAACTATCATTTATTGTCCAGGATAAAGCATTAGAGAATCTAAATTAAAGATGGCTGAGCTATTAAATGAACACTATAGCATTAGGAATACAAATGTAATACTATAGTGAGCTGATCACTGGTTAGGGTACATGTGAAGGAAAAAGATAGCTTACTTACCTTCTCTCCCTTGCTACAGGGCTCTCTCTGCAGCCCGGACCACTTCCTTGGCTGAGATCATCAATCTTGGTGACCACAGCCAATCTAATGCTTCCCCATAAAAAAAGCATTGGGAGGCTCTCAACTATCACATCATGCTATGTAATATGTTACTGTAATTTTACTATATGTAACAACACCTGTTATGTAGCTTATCCCCCACTTGGGACTCCAACCCTGTCCACCCACCCAGCTATGTCCTGTGAAGACGAGGGGGGCTCTCTGCTGAAGCACTGAAATGGTTCAAGCAGTGTGTAGGTGTCACTCCCACTTGTAACTTTAACTTTGTTTGTGCCAGGGCATTGGGCAAGTGGTCCCCCTATTTATATGCAATGTCTTAGAGATGCTTTCATCTCCAGAGTGTGACAGTGAACACAAAAAGAATGTAACATTCTGAACTAATTGATAAAATCTTGTCTTTTTCTCCATGTAGATCCTGTTCAGAATGTAACAGTGGTATTATTACCTCAAATAAATGTGTCTGAAAATACCCCTGAAGTCAATCTGTCCTGCAAAGCAGCCACCGGAGGAGAGACATTTACCTGGCTGAAGAATGGGGCACCTCTTCCTGCGAATTACAGTTACACCTTACTGGATGGAAACAGAACATTACAGATAAAGAGCCCAAACATAACTTATAACGGGAATTATACCTGCATTGTGTCGAACCCCGTCAGCTCGAGCAATAATACCATAGAACTGATAGTTAAACGTAAGTACCTCCAGTCCAGGGATCATTAACTAATGGTCTAAGTAGGACAAAATATAATTTAAAAACCATGATAGAACTATGTTAACATTTGTAAAAACACATTCCATCCACATGCCATCATGGGGGTAATTCTCATTCCTGGGCTACCATACGCTCTCAAAGGCAACGTAACCAACCTGGCCTTTTTCAAAGTAAAATATTTGACCCATATATTTGACCCTGTAACTTTCAAAAATTCTATAAAACCTGTACATGGGGGTACTGCTACACTTGGGAGACTTTGCTGAACACAAATATTAGTGTTTCAAAACAGGAAAACGTCTCCCGAGTAAAACGGTACCCCCCATGTACAGGTTTTAGGGTGTCATAGAAAGTTACAGGGTAAAATACAGTGCTAGCAAATTAAATTCTCTGGGCTTTCGACCTGGGTTGGCAGGCAGGTCCCTCAAATAGCAATCAATAAAATTACTTAATTATGTAAAAAATATTACATAAATACGCACGTAGAATTTAAATATATATGCTTATTTATATATTTGAAGTCTACGTGTATATTTATATAATTATTTATATAATTTTGTATATGGACATATGTATTCGTATTATTTTTATTTATATATACATAGATATATATACAATTTCATTCTAAGTGTATTTTGATATAAATATATATATTACTATCAAAATACAGTTAGAATAAAATTAGAATAAAATTTCATATAGATATATATTTTTTTAATTTTTATTATTTTTACATGTTTTTATTTAATTTAAATTACTTCTTTGTATTTTATAATAATATTTATATACAATATATATAGTTATTATATATATATTATATATATATATATACGTGTGTAATTTAATTCTAAGTGTATTTTTATATTAACATATATATGACATATGTATGACATATATATGATATATAGACATATATAGACATATATTATATAGATATATGTCTATTTATCATTTATATATATATTTTTTTTTTATTAACTTTAACACATGGCCACAGGGGTCCTAATCCACCATGGGGAGACTGTCTGGGCTGCAGGCAGTTTCCCCACAATGGGAGCAACACCGATCGCTGCCGGGGGAACGACAGCGATCGGGTAAGTACATTGGACCGTTAGGACGGTTCAGGACCGTCACCGGTCGGCAACGTAAAAATGCGATGACGGTTCTGAACCATCCTCGGTCCTGAAGGAGTTAACTATTGGGATTTTATAATCAGGGAAGAGTTTACTGTTACTCCTTGTATTTTCACCGCTAGCTTCCCGTTGAATCTACAATTCAATCTGGGGTTCGCTGCTATGTACTTCCCCAAATATTCTTATATTTCTATATCTCACCACTAGCTAACGTACTCACCTTTCATCCCTAAGGTATATATTTGTTTAAATCCATATATGCAACTGGAGACACCATTACCCTAAGTTACTTATAACTCTCTACAGGGTGATTTCCACTTCAACTATACTCTGATATATAAGTATACCTGTTCGTATCCTTTTCAGTCTCAGACTAGCATTTTGTTGCAAATGAAAAACATAATTTTTTTTGCAACACTACATAGCATATCTGTTTCAGTCTGTATTTAACTGTTTGGATACCGTTGATACAAATTGTGACGGACCACTGGCACTCCGACCGAGTACCTCCGCCAATCGATGCTCCTAGTGCTTGCCGAGGACTCCAAATACTCCACCAGGCACCATAACCACTAGAGACCCCACTTCCAGCGATGCAGCTGCGCCGGGGTCTAGCCGTCTTCTACCCACCCTGGACCCAAGACAGGGATCCAGCTTCCAGTGGGTAGACCTCTCCTACTCCAGAGAGCTTGGCAGGAACAAGAGCTTATACTCAGGGGAGTATTGTGATTATAGCAATCCCCAAGAGTGTAGTTATCCCATCCCCCAAACATGAGCCAAGACTTCATGAAGGGGTAAAGCAGGTATGTTTAATGGAAGCAAGCACTTACAATTTATACAATTCCTCAGGCCAGAGCCACACCCCCTGGACCTGATGATACACAGACACACAAAGGACACAAACCAATCAGAATAATACAGCAATATCTGACACTCCCACATACACAGTAAAATCCCTCCCTTCTATTCTGGAGACAATTGGCTTAAGTAACCGTAGTATACTCAATTATCTCCAGATACAGAAAATATCTCTAAGTTACAACTGCAACAAAACACATTAAAATACATAACTTATATTCCATAGATCTGAACCCCCACATTCAACCTATCCCCAGTTATATCCCCATATATCCAAACAGCACTCAGATCCCAGGAAAATAGTCAAATCGCCATGGGTTCAAGCTTTGTGGAAGTCTCTTTGGACCGACCGCAGCATGTCTTTCCTGCCCAAAAAAGTTCCACAGAATTTGGCTGTGTGGCCGGTCTATTTCCAGTGTTAAGTTCAGTTTAAATAGACTAACGGCAACTGTTCGTGTAAACCGTCAATGTTAAAGTGCCATTCGAATTGGCGAACAGCGTTCAACTCCAGTTGAAGTGTGAAAGTTCCAGAGAAGGTAAAGTTCACCGGTGTTCGTGCTGTTGCGTGTCCGATTTGACCAAACAACGATGAACGCGTTCGACTAAACAAGATGGCCGCTGCCATGTGTTTGGCTAAACGAACGGCGACCACCCAGCCGTTTGTCGATTAGCTGCGGTTAACCGCAGCTCCTTGTAGGTAAATGAGGGACACACTCCACTTGTGTGTGGTCCGGCTGTTCGGTAGTTTGTTTGGCAACTCCAAATACTGAACCATATAGGGAAAAAAAGCATGAACAAGCCTTTTCTCAGTCTTGGGACACAGTTTTAGCGCAGGGGCCATAATCATGGGTCGAGAGGCTGGCAAGCAGGCCTCTCCACTTAATATTCACATTATTTTTTATTTTATTTAGATATTTTGTTGTTCGTTTCTTCATTAGGGATTTAATAAAATTATAGTTCTTCTTTGCTCTTTATAAATAAAGGCACCTTTAAACCTATTACTGGCAGATAGTGATGTCCCGAACGGTTCGCTGGCGAATAGTTCCTGGCGAACATAGCGTGTTTGCGTTCGCCACGGATGGCGAACATATGCAATGTTCGGTCCGCCCCCTATTAATTTACTAATACTAAGTAAAAATTACTTAGTATTAGTAAATTGTGCCCCTACTCGCAATACCGCGAGTAGGGGCATGCCTATTAGACAGTGAGCAGCCTGTGGCTGCTCACTGTTAAAAAAAAAAAAAAAAGGGTCGTCCCCCCCCGGTGGGGGCCCTAAATACTAATAGGAGGGGACCTATTGTCCTCCCCCCGGCCCCCACCCCTGAACGGTGGGAGGGGCCCTAAAAATAACAATAAGGGGGGGACCTACTGTTCCCCCCTGGCCCCCACCCCTGAGCGGTGGGTGGGGGCCCTAAAAATAACAATAGGGGGGGACCTACTGTCCCCCCCCGGCTCCCACCCCTGAGCGGTGGGTGGGGGCCCTAAAAATAACAATAAGGGGGGGCCTACTGTCCCCCCTGGCCCTCACCCCAGAGCGGTGGGTGGGGGCCCTAAAATTAACAATAAGGGGGGACCTACTGTCCCCCCCCGGCCCCCACCCCTGAGCGGTGGGTGGGGGCCCTAAAATTAACAATAAGGGGAGGACCTATTGACCCTAGTCACCCCTCCCCTCCCAAAAAAATGATCTCCCTACCTACCCCCCTCACCCTAAAAATAATGAGTGGGGGACCTTTAACTAAAAACCAGTAAAAGAAATTAGATAAAAATAACTTACCATTTGATGTTTTCTTTCTTCTACAATCTTCATTTTTGAGCCCCAAAAAAGGCCTAATAAAAAGCCATAAGAACCGATGCAATAAAAAAAACAAAAAAAACGAGCGCACAAAAAATAATCCATCTTCACCCATGGAGGGCTCCGCGCAGACTGAGCTCTGCAGGGCGGGGGAATCCATCCAATCACAGTGCTCTGTGTCATTTTACACAGCGTGGGTAAATTGAACTTTCCCACGCTGTGTAAAATGACACAGAGCACTGTGATTGGATGGATTTCAAGCCATCCAATCACAGTGCTCTGTGTCATTTTACACAGCGTGGGAAAGTTCTTTCGAATTTTCCCACGCTGTGTAAAATGACAAAGAGCACTCTGATTGGCTTAAACCAGCCAATCAGAGTGTTCTTAGCCTAATTGCAGGACGTGGCAAGGCTTTATAAGCCTTCCCCCGCCCTGCAGAGCTCAGTCTGCGCGGAGCCCTCCATGGGTGAAGATGGATTATTTTTTTGTGCGCTCGTTTATTTTTTTTATTTTTTTTTTTTTATTGTGTCGGTTCTTATGGCTTTTTATTTGCCCTTTTTGGGGCTGAAAAAAGAAGATTGTAGAAGAAAGAAAACATCAAATGGTAAGTTATTTTTATCTAATTTTTTTTTTACCGGTTTTTAGTTAAAGGTCCCCCCCTCATTATTTTTAGGGTGAAGGGGGTAGGTAGGGAGATCATTTTTTTTGGGGGGGCGGAGGGGTGACTAGGGTCCCCCCCCTTTGTATTTAGGGCCCCCACCCACCGCTTAGGGTTGGGGGCCGGGGGGGACAATAGGTCCCCCCCTTATTGTTAATTTTAGGGCCCCACCCACCACTCAAGGGTGGGGGCCGGGAGGGGGACAATAGGTCCCCCCCTTATTATTAATTTTAGGGCCCCCACCCACCGCTCAGGGGTGGGGGCGGGGGGGGGACAATAGGTCCCCCCCTTATTGTTAATTTTAGGGCCCCCACCCACCGCTCAGGGGTGGGGGCCGGGGGGGACAATAGGTCCCCCCCTAATTGTTACTAGGGCCCCCACCCACTGCTCAGGGGTGGGGGCCGGGGGGGACAATAGGTCCCCCTTATTGTTAATTTTAGGGCCCCCACCCACCGCTCAGGGGTGGGGGCCGGGGGGGACAATAGGTCCCCCTTATTGTTATTTTTAGGGCCCCCACCCGCCGCACAGGAGTGGGGGCTGGAGAGGGGGAGGACAGTAGGTCCCCCCCCATTATCTTTATGGCCCCCACCCGCCGCCCAGGGGTGGGGGCCGGGGGGGAGGAGAGTAGGTCTCCTCCCCCCCCCTTCAACCACTATTGTGGCCAGAAAGAGTCCCTGTGGGTTTTAAAATTCGCCTGCCTATTGAAGTCTATGGCGGTTCGCCCGGTTCGCGAACAATTGCGGGAGTTTGCATTCGCGGTTCGCGAACCGAAAATTTTGTGTTCGCGACATCACTACTGGCAGAGCAGCCTTTCTCAGGGTACTTCACTGTATTCTTCATAAGCTGTCCTCGTTTAGTGTTAATCTTTATTATAGATCTCTCACCCCTGTCATCAAATATTTCTGTGCCCTCCTTACCTCCCATTTTTCTGATTAATCTAAGGTGGTCCAAAGTTAAAACAAGAGAGGCATTGACCTCCTATGATGCTTACTGCTACAGAGTCATGTACTGTTGCACTTGTTTAATCAGCGATGGAGGATTACCAGAAAACACTTGTTACAACACCCCTGGCACACAGGAGTGAAATCGCCATTTAGTTAAGCTTCCCCTTCCTCAGTAATGCAGGCTCAATTCGTGTATACTTCAACCGTACGAACTGTAACCAGGAGAATGCGCCAATCTCCCAAACGGGACCCGTACGGGTGCTCCAAACTCCCGAACAATAAATCCACGAATCGCGGCTAACAGCCGAACCAATATATTCTCCAAGCGGCTTACGTTTCCAGCAATCAGTCGCTAACCGTGTGTAGTAAATCCTCCCCAATAACGAGACCAAGCTCCGCATTGAGGGTAAAACAAGAACTGGCTTTACTGTGGGCTTCCCGCCCGTATTTATGCAGGTCTTCCACTTGGTGGACACTCCCCTAGGGGACCAAATGGGAGACTGTAGTTACAGACATAGAGGCACAAAATATTCCCACAATGCATCTTGGTTTCCTTCCCTCTGCCCAAGAGATAATTGAGAAGTAATTCAATTATCTCCCAGGACAGAGGCAAATCGCCATTTTAAATGAAACACAGAAAACACACAAAAATGAATAATTATACAACTACCGAATATATTCCATTCGTATAACGTATCCCCAGATAGCCTGGATCTGAGTGCATATTCCTACCGAATAGCTCTTAGATCCCATACGCACAGTTCAATCGCCATGGAGTCAAAGTCTCTTACAGGTCTTTCGGTATGCGATTGACTCCATGGGATGGCTATCTGGGTTAAGTTCATTCGTATCCTCGGAACTCCCGAACGGCCCGGTGTTCGCATGCCTCGACGAATAAGAACGGCGGTCGGTGGATTCACGGTGTTCCGTAGAAAGTGTCCGTTTTTAATTCCATAGAATCTGCGCCGAATACCGCTGGTCTTTCGCCTGTTCTAACTGGGCCGCCGCCTCATGGTCAGCATACGAACGACGACCACCCAGCCTTTGGCTATAATTAAGAGGTGTCTGTGGTTAACCACAACATTCTAATTGGAATCAAGAGGTTAACCAGCAGCACACTTCTCTTCTGGGTGGCCGTCCGTTCAGTAAGTTCATTCGGTAAAAGTTCAAACAGACGAATAGGGGTATACGGACAGGCAATTCCATGAAGGGAAGGCAAACTAGACGAACCAGCAATATTAGTATTACAGATGAATCGGTCACAACACTGATCTCCTTCTCTGTACATTTCTTACTCTGGTTCTGTTCGTCATGTCACATCATTTAATAAAGCTTCTCCAGTCACCGGCTATACTGTATTAGTAGGACCTTCCAGTCTCCTAGCCCTTAATCAAGATCTAAAATCAACCACGCTGTATTTTCAAATGTTTTATTTCAGTAAAGTGCTTTAATTGTATTCATAATCACAGTTTAAATGTTAGAACTTTGCAGGTTGTAAGCTTCCTTCTCTTTTTAAATGGATGCAGTTTTATGTGTGATTAGGGCAAACCTGTTCAACGGTGCTATGGTCACAAAACACTTATAAGGCCATTCACCAAATTCAAATCCGATTGGATTATTTAATAAAGTGAGATTTGTTGGGAATTGAAAGTGAATTTAACATTGAAAGGGTTTCTTTTTTTTTTTTTCATGTTAGAATAATTCCCTATTGGGCATTATTCTTTAGATTCCTCCCACCCTCCCACCCTGATAATTTGTAAAAATAGGTTTAAAAAGAGTTATAAAATGTGGTTTACTTACCGAAATCCAGCACGAGGCTAAACGACCCTGTGCTGTTCAGCATGACCCGTCTGGCATCATGGAAGCCATGCAGAGGAACATCTCTTTAGAAGCCATTGATGGGACCATTTACCATTTAAGCATTTAGGGCCCCTCGATGAGCCCTATATCTTCAGGGGCCCGGTCAGCACTGAGGCCGCGTTATAGCAAGACCGGGCCCCTTTAAAAAAAATTGCGGCTGCACCGCAAGTGCTGCTGGGAGGAATTGACGGTCGATCACTTCCTCCCAGCTTACTCCGCGTGGGGGGAGAGACAGCCAAGTCAGTATGTATGTCTGTGTGTGTATTTTTATATCTATCAGTATGTGTGAATGTATATCAGTATGCATGTATGTCTGTGTATGTCAGTATGTATGTGTGTATGTATCTATCTGTGTGTCTCAGTATGTATATATGTCAGTATGTATGTATGTCTGTGCGTGTGTCAGTATGTATATATGTCGGTATGTATGTCTGTGTGTGTGTATGTCAGTATGTATGTATATATCAGTATGCGTGTGTGTGTGTGTGTGTCAGTATGTATGTATATATCAGTATGTGTGTGTGTGTGTGTGTGTAAATGTCAGTGTGTGTGTGTGTGTGTGTATCAGTATGTATGTATGTGTGTCAGTATGCATGTATGTCAGTTTGTATGTCTGTATGTATATGTGTATGTATATATCTATCTGTATGTGTGTGTATGTCTGTATGTATGTAAATCAGTATGTATGCCATTATGTATGTCAGTATGTATTTATGTGTATGTATATATGTCTCTTTGTATATCTGTATGTCTGTTTGTCAGTATGTATGTATGTCTCTATGTATGTGTGTGTGAGAGTATGTGTGTATGTCAGTGTGTGTGTCTGTATGTCAGTATGTGTGTGTGTGTGTATCTGTATCTCCTTATGCATCTGTATGTGTCTGTATGTGTGTGTCAGGATGCCTGTATGTGTATGTCTGTTTCAGTATTTGTGTCTGTTAGTATGTGTGTATCTTTCTGTGTGTGTGTCTTTGTCCTTTTGTGTCTGTGTGTGTATTCCTGTGGGCAGGATTTGTAAGCTGGGCTTGGAGGCGGGCACCCGGGGGCCCAGACCTTGAGCTGTGTTAGGGGCCCCACAATTTCTGATGGCGGCCCTGGTTTTAGCAGTACAACTGAGCCAAACTCAATTTATGCACAGACCCCAGCAGGTGGCCTCCATTGTATTCAACACAAACCCCTCCTGGGAATCTCTGGGTCTGGGAGATAATTAAGTTAAAAACCGGTAAGCTAATTATCTCCCAGGGACAGAGAGCCAAACACAAAAATATAAAAACATAAAAGTACTCCAAAACATAATAAAAACATACAATAACCCCACATATTATACACTCAGATCCATGCAGTGTAGGGGAAACGCCACCGTGTTAAAGTTCCAGGGTGTTTGGTGCTTTTGCCGGTAAACTTTTGGGAGCTCTTGCGTCCAAATTATGGGGTGCTCCATCTGTCTCTAATGTAGCTTTTGTTCCCCTTGGTCTCTGGCACCTTCCCTCCAAAAAACGCTCTCCTGGCAGGTTGCAAAGTGGTTCAAACCCCAGACTAAGTTGTCCGTGAACCGCACGGTCACCTCATGCCGAAAACAGCTCCATAACCTTCGCGGCTAAGTATCGCTGAGGTGACCGGAGACCCCCAAACTCCTCATGCCAAAATGAGTTCCATAGCGGTCGCGGCTAAGTACCGGTGAAGGCCATTTGTGGGTTTGGTTCATGCGAACGGCCGCCAGGGAGCAAGCGTTCAGTTCCATTCGAATGAAGGGAAAGTGCTGAACCAGGGGCCCCCAGAAAAAGCTGCTAATGGCGGCTGAGTATGGTAACTCCTGAACGGTGTCTCAGACCAGGACCATAGTTGGTGGACAGGAAGGTTTCCACACTCCTCCAAGAGTTCGTAGCAATCGTTTGTGGGAAGGAATGTTTGTCACAGTAATCTCCTGCAGGAAAAACTGGATTGGCTCTGTTTAGCTAAGCACAGCTGACCCAAAATGATGCTCATTGGCTGAAGCTCTCAGATAATGAGTGCAGTCCTGCATCACCTTGCTTAGAGCTAATTAAATTCTGCAGGAGAATAATGGCATACAGGTACCTGGCGAGACATAGGTAAGTTGTCAGACCGTTCTAAAATGGATTGACGAATTATGCCGGGAAGACGCCAAGACACTCCTGGCACCATAACCATTATGTTATGGTGCTTAAAATTTTTCTTTAATAAAACACTAATCTTTGACACTATAAGTGTCTATTTCGGGTGACCTTATCCCCTTTTTTTCCCCTCAGGTCCAAGAGTCTTCCTTAGCGTCCAAGATTATTAAATTAAAGAAAAACCTATATAAACATGTATATTGTATCACAAAATAGACTATAGTTTATCTTCTCTGTACTTTTTTTCAATTTTTTTTTTTTTAGAAACACTGAACCAAAATCCAGATATACAGTAAGAAAACACTTTTTAGGATTTATACTTGGTGATGCATACTCTTTATTATAATTACACTCTGCGATAAATGCACTTTATTTATAGCAACATTTTTTTTTTTGAATATTGTGGCAAAGACAGAGGTCCACCCATTCAATATATATCTCCATGCGGTTTTTCACAAAGCAGGATATTCAGGACTTTTCAATAGTAATATCTAATTATTGCCAGATTGAAATAGAGAAGGAGTGTTTTCCATTGTTTTAGAATTGCCTCAATCTTGGCGATTTCTTTTTTTGTTGGTCAAACAGTAAATTTGTGGAAGGTTGAACATGATGGAGTAAGTGGAGTATTTGTTCAGTTTATATTACTTTCTATCTGGTGACAATGTGCAGAAGTAATATAACAACAGCAAAATATCAACAATATAACAACATGCTTATTTAATGCTGTAGCCTCTTGAATGCTTTTTGTTTGTTGGATGTCTGAACACGCATGTGCCCAATGCATTGTGGGGCAGCAAAATCACAGTGAACAAGTGCAATTTTTACTTACCTTTGCAGCACTACCCACCCCTTCAGTAACATTTACTGGAATAAAGAAAGCAGGAACGAGGGACAGTGAAGTGATTATTACAGTAAAAGAATGTTTCAGCCCTGAATATGACAGTACGGACACAGGAAGCAACAAAATTCTGAACTCACCAGTAATATCTTCCCTGATTGTTTCTCCTTGCAGAGATAGTTCGGAGTGTAACAGTGGAATTATCACCTCCAACAGTGTATGAAAATACCCCTGATGTCAGTCTGTTCTGCAAAGCAGCCACCGGAGGAGAGACATTTACCTGGCTGAAGAATGGGGCACCTCTTCCTGCTAATTACAGTTACACCTTACTGGATGGAAACAGAACATTACAGATAAAAAGCCCAAACATAACTTATAATGGGAATTATACCTGCATTGTGTCGAACCCTGTCAGCTCGAGCAATAATACCATAGAACTGATAGTTTACCGTAAGTACCTCCAGTCCAGGAATCTCATTAACAGGACTAATTCAAGAGACACTGTAGTCCACTGAAGCTTAATGATGTGGTTCTGGTGTCTATTGCCTGTCCCTGCAGTGTTAGCACTTTAAACACTGTCTTTTCAGAGAAAAAGCAGTATTTACATTTCTGCCTTGTAACACCTGTGGTGGCAGTGACTCAGACGGCCACTAGAGGTGCTTCCTAGTCCAGTGGTGAACAGTGTGCAGCACTGGCATTCAGCATCTCCACGCTCTGCATGGAGGTGCTAAAAGCTCCCCATGAAGATACATTGATTGAATACTTCTCTATGAGGAGATGCTGATTGGTGCAGAGCGGCGGTTTGCCACACATACAGAATAGCCTCCCAATACGTTCCTATGGGAAAGCATTTCTTTTACTCAGATCATCAATATTGGTGATCTCCGCCATAAAGGCAGTGACTTTATCACTATAGTGCCAGGGGTACATTATTCTATTCCTCACACTGTAGTGTTCCTTTAACTAATGGTCTAAGAAGGACAAAAAGACTCCTATAACCATGGCGCCTTTTGTGGGTTGGATGTCTGAATTTGATGGCGCTATATAAATAACATAATAATAATAAACAACCCAAGCACCATAACCACTACAGCCCACTTGATTGATTTTTGTTGGTTGGGTGCATGAACGCTTTTGAATGTGCCCAAGGAATTGTGGATTAGCAGAATCACCCTGAACAAGTGCCATTATTGCTTAACTTTGCAGCACTACCCACCCCTTCAGTAACATTTACTGGAATAAAGAAAGCAGGAACGAGGGACAGTGAAGTGATTATTACAGTAAAGGAATGTTTCAGCCCTGAATATGACAGTACGGACACAGGAAGCAACAAAATTCTGAACTCACCAGTAATATCTTCCCTGAATTGTTTCTACTTGCAGAGATAGTTCGGAGTGTAACAGTGGAATTATCACCTACAACAGTGTATGAAAATACCCCTGATGTCAGTCTGTTCTGCAAAGCAGATACTGGAGGAGAGACATTTACCTGGCTGAAGAATGGGGCACTTCTTCCTGCTAATTATTATTATTATGTTATTTATATAGCGCCATCAAATTCCGCAGCGCTTTACAATGGGTGGACGAACCGACATGTAATTGTAACCAGACAAGTTGGACACACGGGAACAGAGGGGTTGAGGGCCCTGCTTAATGAGCTTACATGCTAGAGGGAGTGGGGTATAGTAACACAAAAAGGTAAGGATAGTATTAGACTAGTGACAGTTGCAGAAGAGGTATCAGTCAGGAGCTATTAACAGTTTAATTGATACGCTTTTATGAAGAAGTGGGTCTTTAACGATTTTTTGAAGGAGTGGAGACTGGGTGAGCATCTAACAGAGGAGGGAAGCGAGTTCCACAGGAACAGTGCAGCCCTCGAGAAATCTTGAAGGCGAGCATCAGAGGTGGGAGTACGGACAGAAGATAGAATGTAAGTCTTCAGCAGATCGTAAGGGCCTAGACGGGAAATGTGTATAAGGGAGGATAGATAGGTGGGAGCAGCATTATGTAGCGATTTGAAAGCAAGAAATAGAATTTTAAATTGAGTTCTATATTTTATAGGAAGCCAATGAAGGGACTGACAGAAGGGTGAGGCATGGGAGGTGCGGGCGGACAGGAAGATGAGCCTCGCTGCCGCATTCATTATGGACTGTAACGGCGCAAGTTGGGAGCACATAAGACCACTGAGAAGCGGATTACAGTAGTCAAGGCAAGAAAGGACAATGGAATGGACCAACACCTTAGTCGCATCTGGCGTTAAGTAGGGGCGGATGCGCGCAATGTTTTTGAGATGGAAATGACAGGATATGGTGATAGACTGAACATGAAGCTTGAAGGAGAGGTCGGAGTCAAAGAGAACACCTAGGCAGCGAGTCTGCATGGTGAAGCTGATGGTAGCACCGTTGACTTGGAGGGAGACAGACACAGGAGTAACAACACTTGAGGGAGGAAAGACCAGAATTTCAGTTTTGGTCAAGTTTAGTTAAGGAAGTGGGCAGCCATCCAGTTAGAAATAGCAGAGAGGCAGTCAATGACACTAGTCAAGAGGGACGGGGAGAGATCAGGAGAGGACAGGTAGATTTGCGTGTCATCTGCATAGAAATGATATTGGAAGCCAAAGAATTTAATGAGTTTACCAAGGGAGGCAGTATAGATGGAGAACAGTAGGGGACCAAGGACTGAATTATAGTTACACCTTACTGGATCGAAAAAGAACATTACAGATAAAGAGCCTAAACTTAACTATTAACAGGAATTATACCTGCATTGTGTCGAACCCCGCCAGCTGGAGCTATGCTACCAGAGAAATTATAGTTTACCGTAAGTATCTCCAATCCAGCAATCTTATTACTAGAGCTCATTCAAGGGACACTATAGTCACCAAAACCACTGCCGCTTAATGTAGTGGTCCATGTGTCTATAACCTATCCCTGCTGCAGTGTTAGAACTCTATCATGCCAGGAATGCATATTTGTATTTATCATACTATAGTGTTCCTTTAACTAATGGTCTAAGCAGGACAAAAATATAATTTAAAAACCTTGATAGGGCTATGCTACAATTTGTAAAACAACTTTCAGAAATCCCTTTACCTGCAATGAAACCTATTTTAAATGAGGCATTATTGGGCTCTCTCAGAAACTTACATACATGTTTTTATTTTCAAGTATTTTGCAGAATGAAACTTAGACCATAAAACGTTATCCACCCTCATTTACACTCTAGTTATGATTACCACACTGTAGAGATACACATTTCACTGCTATAAGCCACTGGTCACAGATAAAATACCTGCAAGGATGCTACAAATGCAGCTCATCCCCTGCTTCCAAACAGTAAAGGAAGTCGCAATGGGTTGTACCATTCTGACAATCAGAGAGGGGGGGTTGTGAATGCACTCTACCATTTTGATGTTAGAATCAAATTAGCATTCCAGAGAATTAGAGATCAATTTGTGTAGATTTTTTATATATTTTTTTTGTTTGTTAGAAATATTTATTTATAAAATATTTTCACAGGAAGGATACATTGAGGTTTCTCTCGTTTTAAAGTGTGTCATGGGTATATGATTTAACTGTATGTAGTGTATGAGCATTATTCATTTTACATTACATTACTATGACATTTTCAGTAAGCTGTGCTGGTAATGCCTTCAATGTCCTTACAAATCCGTGTAAGCAGACTAGTTCACCATTTGTTGTTGTTTTTTTTTTTTTATATATATATCTTTTATATATTACATTTCATACTACAAAACAGACATTACTTTGAGTTGACTTAACTGTTCAACCATATTTATGTATAATCTTATTATTAGACTTTATAATTTTATTATATTATAGACTATTTGACCGTTTGGATTTATTTAAATTTGTCACTCCTACTACATGTGAGAAAACTTGAATTTTTACTTTTATACTAACATTTCAGAATCCGTGTGAAATAATTCTAGATAAAGGATGCTGCACACGGTCTAAAGCTTTTCATTTACCATTTTTTTTAATAAGTGAAAAATAAAATTTGTGTAAATGTACATAAATTAAATTTTTAAGTTTGTCGCAAAACCATCTTTACACAATATTGCTATATGTTAATATGCTGGCTATGAAGGCCTTGCTCTAAATAAATCTTCTGCTAATATGTTTTCCATCAAAAAGTGGTTAATAGAGAAGGGGTTAAACTAATTAAAGAGAAAGTGTTAATTGCCCTTACCAAATATTATGAACTTTGGAGCACTGTTCTCATTGACTGCATAATACATTAAAATGGGAGGTCAGTCTGGATAATAATTAAAAACAGGTGATTTCACTTTATTTTATCATATCTTTCCTCATTCTCTTTTCTCTAATTTTCCCCAAGTCTATCTCCCTCTCTCTTCTCCCCAGTGCATTCAATATTTATCTTCTGTAATCCACGTTCATTCCCCTAATGTTTCTCTTTCATTGGTCTCCACCCTCCCATTGGTCCCATTGCATCTTTTTTCCCAAGTTCTCACCACCAGTTTCTATCTTGAAAGGTACCCTTTAGTATTTATTTCTTCCCATAAACTTCCTTCTATCCATCTATTGCTTTCTGTTTCTACCTCTATAGTTTTTGGGTGGCCCCTTATTTAATGACTGCTAATACACTGAAAGTGATATCCTCCTCCTTTTAAAGAATAAATGACGCTTCAAAGACGCTTTTTTTCTTACATGTCATCACTGTACCCCACTCCCTCTAGAATGTAAGCTCATTGAGCAGGGCCCTCAACCCCTCTGTACCTGTGCGTCAAACTTCTCTGTTTACAATCTGCGTTACCATCTGCGTAGTGCAGGATTCTAAAACACCCGTTAAAATAATGGATTCCCATCTAATATATATTTTTCCAGGAGATAACCGTCCACTTCTTCATCTCAATTCCAAATCTTCGTAACCCTTGTACTGATCCCACCTCTTGTATCCATCTGTTTTGATATTCCGTAGAGACATTTTTCTATCATTCCTAGAGGGACTTACTTTAGATTGTAAAAATTATATATTTCTAGAAATGTTTTATCAGTGAATACTTTTAAAGAGCATCAAAGATCTTATCAGATATTGCATGGCTTGTTATTCAGTGCTTTCTCTGGTTTCACTCGTGCCAAAATGGCAAGTGGCAGCAGATCATACTGGGTCATGAGATTGTCGATAGAGAGTTCCTTTGGTCGTGTCATGATGCCTTTCATGGACTGCTGGAAACCAACACATGACATTCAAGGGGTTTTGTTAACTTGCATTCTGATCTTAGAAAATCGCATTTGTTTCAGAAGGATATTTTCTTCATTCTTCTTTATTCTGTCAAAGGACTGCGTATTTCTTTTAAAGAGTTATAAACATATAATAATATATATTCTGAAGTTCTAGAGTGGGGTTCTGAGTGAAGTATGATTTTGATTTATTTTATTCCAATGATTTGGCTTTCACTGGGAAATGCCTGAGTGTGTTCTTCAGCAGTAATGGGGGTTTCCAGAGTGGGAATTATTGAAAGGGACTCTATTAGCACCCACACCACTTCATCTCAACAAACCCTGCAAGTAAAACAATTGCCATTCAGCATATGTAAATGTTAAAATTTTATACTATCTGAAATAAGGATAATATACCTTTAAAATGCCAGGAGTGGCGAAAGTGAGAAGAACGTAAACAAAGAACAGTACAATAAAAAATAAATTCAATAGATATGATAAAAACCAACAAGAAAATGCCAAAAATAAGATGGAGCATTGGTGTATCTAAAAAATAAAAAAAACAGAATCTGAATTTAGAAAAATCTGCAATGGACTAAACAGTTCTCGTGGTGGAGCTGCGTGTAAAATGTTTATAATCTAGCAGAGTAAAATTTTGCTATAGCATTCAGATAATGCCAGAGAGAGCATCGGATTAGCGCAGTCCTGTGTTTTGCCGCGTTTGCGTACTAGCATCCCAAGCCTTTTATATAGGAAAGCATTGGAATGGCTGAGATCATCAAACTTGACTATCTCAGCCAATATGCTGGGGCCAGCCGCAGAGACCGGGGCTGCGAGAGAGAAAAGGTAAGTAAAATACCTCTTTTACAGGTGGGGGCTGAGGTCCAAAACAGCCGACCGTTCACTATTCGCATTCGGAATGCTTGTGTTCCTAACATTATAGTGTTCATTTAAGTTTGTTCTAGAGTTGCAGTTGCGTTATCCAAGCTGTATCTATGCCCCACATGTAATTTATTTTTTTAATTAAAATAGTTTGCCTTTTTATGGCTGTTGAAAGCAATTAAGTATTTGCGTTCTGGGGTATTTTGGATGCAAATTCAGCTCTGGATATTACTGCATGTCTAGATTAGCAAGGATTATTACATCCTACCTACAAACCATTCAACGTTCATAATTAAACTATGTAATAATTAATTGTAATGATTAGTTACACCTACCTGGTGGATGTTCCGTGCTACAACTAGAGGCACGTTGTTTGACTCGGCATTAGATTGACATTATACATGTAAGGAATGTCAGACAATACAAGAAGCAGATCTAATAATGTTACATTTTTGTTGTTCTGTTCCATAGCTGTCCCAGTTACTTCGCTCAGTGCAGGCGCCATTGCTGGCATTGTGGTTGGTTCTGTCTGTGGAGGAATATTACTCATTGCATTTATCATCCTGATTGTGTGCTGTGTGAAAAGGAGGAAAGGTAAGTCCGATCTAAAAACAGATCAAAAGTATATCTTCTACTCTCTCTGTATCAAGGAGGTTACTTAGTCAGAAGTAGTGCATCATTTCTCACTGAAAATATAATTATTAATTAGTGAAAACCATATAAACCCCCTAAACAATTCAATTCCAGAAGAACCAAGGACACGTATCTTTTTTTTTTTTAATTTATAGAAACAAGGATTACATGTTATAAAGAATATATGAATTCATTTTTTTTATTGTGCATCTCATGGTCACTTGACTTAGATCTGCTAAAACCAAGACCAATATAGAACTGTCCTAGTCCGCATTTTCACGCTGCCTGGCACATGCACATAACATCATGAACACACACTAGCTCTTGATTACACACTTACACATAGGGTTTTTAGTGTGACCAAATTAATTAAAATGCGATAGAAATTTTCATTGTAACTCAGAGGGACTGTATCTGATTTATATCCTTGGATAAGGGAATTTTGAAAAGAAAACAATGTAAATATAAAAAAATACCCTCTACAATGAGTACAAAAATACACACAGCTAGGAAATAGCAGGTTCTGCTTTAATATAGGATTTTTACATCCGCAGCATCATGAACAAATAAGTGAATGTGATTGGCTGGGCTTTTCCAACCAATCATATTTCTACATTTGTTTTTAACTCCCAGAGGTATCAAGGGATATCAGACTAAAATCTATAAATTAGTTGTTCTGGAATTTGCAGTCTGTTTCGGCAACATTTGGATCTTTGATATATAGTTAAACTTCTATAAGGTTTAAAAATAATATCAGGAAGTATTACTTTACTGAGAGGGTGGTGGATGCATGGAATAGCCTTCCAGCTGTAGTGGTAGAGGTTAACACAGTGAGGGAGTTTAAGCATGCGTGGGATAGGCATAAGGCTATCCTAACTATAAGATAAGGCCAGGGACTAATGAAAGTATTTAGAAAATTGGGCAGACTAGCTGGGCCGAATGGTTCTTATCTGCTGTCACATTCTATGTTTCTATGTTTCTATATTTCTACAATTTGTTTTTTTTCATCAGATTCAAATTCCCATAAATTACTTTGCAAATGTTTGGACAATAGCTTAAAGTCTGTAAAAATGTTTTTCGTAAATACCTATGTAATTGTTTTTCATTAAGGTTGTCTCTTACACCCAAATTTTACTAACTGGCTTATTTCATTAGCTTAATGTATACTTGGCCATGCCTTTTCTCATAATAAATTAACAATTTAAGTTTCTATTTTGTATTGCTAAACCTGTCTAGTTCCATTATCTTCTGTTTCTTAGTTTTTTAACATCTAGTGCATAATGCACATTAAGGTACTTTTTCTAGTGATGTCCTTATAATAAGCACGTGGTCCTGCTGTTGTGTTCCGAGTGGACTGGAATCTGTAATTTTTAATTCACAGGATAACTATCTGTTTAGCTTTTTAAAACCAGCTCCACTTCAACCATCAAAGACTGGGTCATTGCCCGTGAATTGCAATCATGGAAATCATATTTTTTTGTTTTTGTTTCATATTGAGTATAAAATGAACGTCTCTATAACATTTAATTATTCATTAGGAAAAAAGGAGAAACAGCCTGTAAAGAAAAGTCCTACAAAGAAAAACCCTGGAGGTCCTAATCACAAGGATGTTCTCCGTACCGTAAGTTTATTATCTACGTTATTTGTTCTATTTGGTTGTTCCAGTTAAACTACATTATCTTGTCTGTACACACGGCTAGTGTTTCTTGTTTTGGTCGGTCCTCCTTCATCTTGTATCAACGTCTTCTTGTTTTAATGCTTAGTTTGGTCTAGCTCATTCATTTTGTAAATGCACATTTTAATCCATCTTCTTGCATTTATATGTTGTTTGTCCAATCTCACCTCTGCAATCCTATTCATGGTTATCAATTATTATCAGTATCTATGGTTACCCATTCCGTGCTTTCTCTATACCCTTTTATTTGCATTTTCTGACAGGTATCTGGCAACACTTTGTCTCCCGATGACCCTGCTTTCTTCACTGTAAATAACATCATGTATCGAAACTCTTCACTCTCGATGGGTTCCTATAACATGGTACGTGAAGGGCAGACTGGAGATCTTACATGATGTCTGTGGGGTGTTTTTTTTTCCTGATGTTGGTGTATCTATCTAATGTATGAGTGCATTCATGTACATAAGGGTTTACTAAGGGTATTCTAGTGAAGTAAAAGTATCGCTTACAGAGAAGGATTTCAGAAGTTCTAAACATGGATCATTCACCATGGAATCCTATGTATGTTCTGCTGATTTGACTCCTTTCCATGGTGGTTGATATAATTTTATCATGATCAAGTAAGAATAGCATATTCTCAGTCCTGCTCCCAAGACGTAAAGGGCATGGCGAACAGCTGCATGGGAGAAAATACATATATTCTAATGGAATATTTTTATAATTTATTCAGTAATGTATTAAAAATAAAGCACTGCATTTTGTGCTTCACCCCAGCCTTATCTCATCTATCCACATACATTCCCCTCTCCCAGTCTACTTTTCTTGTCTTATTTCTCACCTACATTGTCTTCCCATTTCATCCAACCCCACTTCCTTCTAACTCTCCTCTGTTAGTCATCTCACCACTCTTTTTTCATTGTATCTTCTAATCTTCACCATATTCTACTCACACTCCCTATTGCCATTATCCACTCCCCCATCTATTTTGTGCCCCACCTCAATTCTATTTTTCTTCTTCTCTTCTTCTCTTTATTCTTAATACCCTTAATGTTGTTAGTAATTGTGTTCAGTTACAAAAAAGCCACTTGATTTACCCATATTGCCTTATCTCTTTGAAAGGACCAACAAGTGAACCGAAGGGACGTACCTGGTACAGTATGGAATACGTTAGAAGTAAGCACATTCCTTTACTTGATTTTTATATGTTTGCAATGCGTAGGTTAGTTTTCATACAAGTGTTTCTCAATTTTAGGAGAAGACTTTATCTAAATTAAAGACGTTACATTTACTGAAAAAGCTACCAAAAGATCAGCTTGAACGTGAACATTTATAACCCCATTCAATATCTTTCCAAAGGAAAAAAAATGTAAGGCAAATGGTGAGGAATTAAAGGTGTTTGTCCCAGGCAAAAAGGGACAGAGTTGGACAATCCAAAAGTATACACAGCTTCACCCAGAGACCATTTGTCAAATGAGGTATCTGCGTGAAACCCAAAGATAATATTAAAGTGAATCGTACAAGAGATTCATTTTAAACTTACAACATATCCTTCGGCAAATATTTATAATTTATGATAAAGATAGGTTATATATTGAATTGCATTAGGAAATGTTAATGAAATATATCCATAATGCTTGGTGTGTTAGTGATATACCTACCTACCTACTGCCTACTTACTGCTCTAAGTTGGTTTGATTGCCAGCAGGTCAACATATGGACCTACATTCGGTTACACCTGTTACTCTGTTCCTGCATTCCTGTAGCAAAAGATTAGATGCATTCAACATAGAATAATCACAGCAACTGCAGCCCATGAGATGTAGTTACTGTGATGACGAGCATATGAACTGCCTGTAATATTTGTATACTTGTTCTTTCTGAAATGGAGAACAATTTGGTTGGTGGACAATATGAAAAGGGAAAAAGGGTGGAATGAAAATTGGTGTAGTGTTTGGACAACTTGGCTTACTTTTGAAATGGTGAGTAAGGCTAGTAGAGCTGTATGTAATACAAGGGAGTCCAGGCTTTCCCAGGGGTGAGGTATTTTCAGCAGGTAAAGGATTCAGATTTGGTTTAAGACAATGTGGCAGAACAGATTGAGATTCTTCATAACCTCACCCTTTCAATCTTCTCTTTTTTTAGAGCAATCGTGCCAGCACTCCAAATAGCCGAATATCTTCCAATTTGAAACCAAAGTCTGCAACCCAAGTGTGATACTCACCATTGTAGCATATAACCAAGTGTGGCACTTCCTTGTAAGCACTTTGCGCAGTTAGATGGAAAATGAGGTGCTTTACCAAACTGAACATTACAATGTTAAACAAATGATAAAGATTACGACCATGCAACGAATTAATATAACTAAAGTTTAAAATAATGTTTACTAAAGATAGCGCATATTGCACATTCCGAATGGCCAATTAAAGTAGGTGATTGCCATTATTCTGTAAGGATGGAAGCTTTTGATCAATAATGGAAATTTAGTACCATCTTCACACTAGTGACAATGTTCCAAGCCACTTGTATAAAAAGAGTGATACTGTGAATGCATGTTTTAAATCAGTCACTTACCTTTCAGATAGATTTTTATATATCTTATAAAACATGAGGTCCTTTTAGAACACAAAGTCCGTCAGTAGGTAGCAGTCTGAATATCCATGTTATGGGGACACCTCGTACTGACACAATAAATTTATCCGTGTAACAGAAGCAAGGCTGGAACCAGACGGTGTCCGGCAGCTCTCTAGAGAGAACTCATTTTCACTATAAGGTAAAGACATACGACTTTATATGGGATGCCATTATATAGTTCTAAACTGCTGAATATTGCACTGACGCAGCCATAGCACTAAAGCAGATCGGATGTGAAAGTGAACTATGCTGCCATTAACTGGCTTTTTAATAAACTGCACATGTTACAATGATTTTACTGCTATATACATCCACCATGAGGGGGGTATTAGTCTTTAGTTTTACTGAAATGGTATAGTTACCATAAAGTGATACATTGATACAGATACCTATATATACGTTGGGTTATGATAACACAGATATTCAGACTGCTAATTGTGGGGGGAGGGGACTTTGAATTTGTTTAATAAATGGCTGTATAACTTTTTGAACTGTTACTATTACTAATATTTACTTTAGACAGAATGTGTTCTGTTATTTTATGTTTTTATTTTTTTTCACACCGGTGGGGATGGAAATGCTTGAAGAAAATCATCAGTGCTGCCACCTTCCCAGCTGGAAGCTCCCTTTACTGAACTAGCCCAGCAGCCAATGAGTAGGCCATGTGCTGCAGGACTTAGCTGGCAGCCAATGAGCAGGCCATGGGCTGCAGGTCTTAGCTCAGGGGTGCTAATGAAAAGTTCTGTCTGAAAAGTTGGATATGACTAGGACCTAGTGGAATTCAGAAGAGTTGCCAAATTGCTTAACTATGTATCCTGGGAGGAAGATACTTTTGATACTACTCTTGCCAGCAATTTGCTATAGTGGTTATGGTGCTTACAGTTTCTTTTAAGTTTATTCTGATGAGGATTGGTTCACAGGATTACAGAGTGCATTGGTTTCACCTTCACACTCTCCAACAGACTCTGAGCAATTTAATTTCATGCAAATTTGTTTAACTCCCACCATCCCCCCTGTGTTGTGCATGCAGCAATATGAAGGAATGTACAAGGTCGCATGCTCATTTGCAATAGTTTCCTAGCAGATGCCTCAGCTCATATGAGTTCCCAGAGCATCATGGGTTGATGTAGCACAATACATGAACATCCTGTGGCGATAAGTGTGCGTTATAGTATTACTTACCTCTGTTGCAGTCATCAGTCCATAAATGTAACAACAGTGATACTTAAGCGAGTGAGGATTTGAGGAGCTACTCCTTTCAGAGAAGTGGCCCTTATGTTTTAAAGATTACCCTAGTCTGTTTCAAGTGAACCCATCTCCACAGATCATGTGGATCACTGGCTCACATTGACGTAAGTATCAATATAAAAAAATAAAATATGCAGCCAAAATCGCCAGCAAGCATTTACATTAAAATAGTTTTTTGTGCAGGTATCCCATGGACCCTTCCAGAGCCTGCAGAAGTCAAGGAACAGGTCGGAACAAATTTACAACTAGATAACAATGTGTATTTTAAAAGCACTGAAGATATATTACTGATAACTTCGGCAGAAAATAGTCATAAAACAGGTGTGTGAAAAGGGTCTTATTGCCCTATATGAAATAAACAGTGTTTTCTGCTTTTAGAAATATCAGACTTGACGGGTAATTTGAATTTGAGGGTTGTTAATTTGTCCCAAAGATCAATCAGTCAAAGACAGAAATGTGAAAATGATTACGTGCATGATCTACTTATATGATATAGCGGAAATGCTGGGGATTAGAAAAGTATGGCTTCTCCAACCCAAGTTACAAACTGCCATTATGAAGATTTGTATTAACTTAGTTGTATCAATTTGTGACATTTGTGAAATTTTGTGACATTGCTAAATGTTTATGTGTATGACATTTTCCACAATTTTAACTTCAAAACTGGAATGTGCTTCTTGTATTATTTGACACATAACTGCCAAATTAGAGTGGAATCTTGGCATATGTGTCCCAACTGTCACAGTAAGTGTTTAATCTAATAAGTTTAGATGCACTAGTTACTTACAAGTTATTACATGAAGAAGTGTAATGTTTTTGTAAATTTGTTTTATATTTTATTAAAATTTAATGATGCATTATGTATAATATAAATATATAATATATGTGAGTGCACTTATTGAGAAAAATGGAAATTACAGTTGAAAGGCCCTGTTCTGAATTCCAGTTTCTTTTTATGCCATCGGTATTATTGGCTACAAATGTAACTACTGTAAATATATTAAGATCAAAATATATTTGAACATATTTTTTAAATATAGTATTTAAAAAAAAATCTATTTTATGTACTAATCCTGGTATATGTTTATCATTATATTGTGTACTGTTTAAGGTGCCATATTTCTCTTTTCTACAAGTTTGGATTCACATTTAATGTAAACAGCTGACTTAACCTTGTGACTGTGCAAGTTTTATTTTTCAAAACACATACTATGAATAAATACATATATACAAATGTGCTGTCTGGTTTTTATTAAGAAATATGGGTGTGTTTTTAAAAAAAAATATATATTTTCTTTAAGCAATTTTTTTTATTATTATTATTAATTAAACTTGCTGCATAAGCCCATTCTTTCATTCCTCCACCCTAAACTACAATGTATCTGCTTTTGCTCCAAAAAATACTCATGTACATGATGTGACGGCTTATATTTTATATTTATAACTTTTTTGACATGCATTTTTCTGGATTTTTTGTTGTTTTTGTTTTTCTGTCTCTCACGGTTAAAATACACCTACCATTACAATTATAGACTGATCATTTCTTTGTCAGTGGGAGAACGTACAAAATCAGCAGGGGGTCAAATACCTTTTTCCCCTCACTGTATACAGTAAAAAGCTGCCTATTGAACTATAACACCCAGAAACCCTTGCTGTTCCCATAAAGCAATGGTAATGGGATGCATTCAGCACTGTTAAAGGCAGCTAAATGAGCATCAATCCCTTCCTTGTTTGGTGAGAGCCCACCTGCAGATGCTGAAATGCTTAAAGACTTTAAGCAAATCTATAAATGTTGAACATGAGTAGCTTTTTAAAAAATTAATTTTATATATAGTTTCAATTGTTTTTGCAATATAATGTATTAGAATGATAAAAGCAGGCCGTTTCTTTTAAAAATATTAATTTAAATTTCTGGGTTAAAAAAAGACTGGAAACTTTGGATCTATTTATTTACAGACGTCTTAGAGGGGGTGCGATATCATACAGTCCTATAGAACACCGGGACAATTTAAACTATCGTCTTTTTCTTTAACAGGAATGTACAAGGGACTGGTAATCAATCTACAGATAGGGAAGCAGAAAGGCTGCATTATAATTAGAATAACGAAGGCATGGCTTTAATAGTCCAAGGACGTTGCACAATCAAATGGGTTTGTTTGTTTGTTTGTTTTTTGGTAAAGCAAGCTATATATTATTTTCAAGTTAAATACCCATGATATGGTTTGTTAATCCAGGGTAGAATCCAGTTCCTGCTTTATAACCAATGATTCATGCTTTATCGCAAAATTGAGACTGAGATATTTGGGTTTTTTCTTGCCTTCCTTGGGATCAACAGCAACAACTTGTGTAAAATGGACAAAAGTTTAAAAAATAAATCTAAATATCTGTTATTCTGCTAAACTTGCATGTTCCTCAGGTTATATGGCATCGTAAGGTCAACTACGTATCAGAAATCCCATATATTGTAAGACCAAGTGTATACAGCAAATGAAAACTGAGCCAAGAGATGCCTGGTAGTCACGAATCGATTTTCACTTCTGTGATGTCACTGCAGAGTTATGAGTGGTCGTTTTTCTTTTTGGTCCAGTAGATGACCGAGGTTGTCAAAAGGGTCTTGTAGACCTCAAAGTGCTCCCTGCCACTTTTGATTAAAGCATCTTGGTAATGTTATAGTGTTGGCGTTTTTCTTAAACACTCAACTGCTTTACATATAGATTACTGATTAATTGTTGGGCAAAGTGCCGACTGACCTCATCCACTAATGCACGGGCACTTGCTAGGAGCTAAGCTTTGTTCATTTATCTAGGGACAGTCTGACACTGTCTTACCTCATTTCTGAACCCTGGGACCAAAACCAACGAAGATCTCCCAGGAAAATTGTGTTTGCTACAATTCTTCTTAACCCCTTAAGGACACATGACATGTGACATGTCATGATTCCCTTTTATTCCAGAAGTTTGGTCCTTAAGGGGTTAACAAGATGAAACTTAGAATTACAGATTTTCACAAAGAGTCAGAAGCAATTCTCCTGATTAATAAGCTCTGCCTTAATACTTCATTTTTTGAGTAATCTCTCTCCATTTATGACCTTGGAGCCTCTTAGCTATTCTGATTTTTAACATAAGCACTGTTACAATGAATAACTAACAGAACAGGGATTTTAGGTATATGGGGAAATGTATGGTCACGCATCTCCTGTACACAGCATGTCCTAGTATACATTTCAAATACAGCATGCATATATATATATATATATATATATATATATATATATATATATACACACACACATCTATACTACAGCACACATATCATATACATCTATCTATCTCACATACAGAACACATGTAATATCACACAGCACCGAGCTCACATACAGGATGTACAAACCGAACACTCCCAATACACACAGAGCACCCATAACAGCATAAATAGCCTTATAGAAAATTTACTTTGCATAAAGCACCAACACAGTTTAAATAATGTGTATGCATACTAGACATGCAATTAGTTTCGTTCCGAATTAAAATTTAGACAAATTTTGGCAATTCGGACACTCGGCTGCTTCCAAATATCTGAACTCCCGAATTTAGTAAGTGCTGAACCGAACCGAATTGCCAAATTTCGGAAGTGCTGAAGTGCTTTGGATTTCTGAAAAGTGGCAAAACAGGAGAGGGAGATAAAATTAAGGGAAGGATTACAGGTATCTAACCCTAACCCAACCTTCCTCTATGCCTAATCCTACTCCTAGGGTTAGGGTTAGAGGAAGGTTGGGGTAAGGGTTAGGGGTAGGGTTAGGGTTAGGGAATTGCCGAAGTCCCGAATTTCGGAAGTGCCGAACCAAACCGTTTTTTTTTATTTGCCTATGCACAGCCCTAATGCATACTTGTCAAATGTCACAGTTTAGGAAGGACAGTCCCTATTTTAGTCCCAAATTCCTCTGTCCCTTTTTTCTATCCTAATGTCCCTTTTTTCTAGGAGCTTCGTATTGTTGGTGTGTCTGAGTGTATAACAAAGCTCCACAGCATTGGTACTCCCAGTAATGTGTCTTTAAAACACAATAAATGTGTTTTGAAATCTGATACATTGTTATTGTTCTAAATTACCTATTAGTTGTATAAATTATTAGTAAGTCACCTAAATCTCTCAGAACAGCCTGCGCCTGGTCACACCCTCAAATTAAAATGTCCCTCTTTCTCCATGGGAAATGTTGGGAAGTACGTAAAATGCTATTTCTTTTACCTCAGTTGATGTGAATATCAGAATAGCCCATTTAAGTTTTTTTTATGTATTTAGTATTTATAAAATAAGCGTTACTCAGAAATATATATAGAGAGTGCTTTTTCATGCTCTACACTGACAGTAGTGACAGGGCCAATCATGTTGTACCTTTGCACTCAGGGCTTATTGACAAAGATCATGAGGTTATGACATCATATCCTACTTGTATTTTCCATTAACAGACTTAATATAGGCGTAAGAGACTCTGTGTCAGAAGAGTCATAGGCTGCAGTCCCAGAGCCCCTCGGTGTCAGGAGAGTCACAGACTGCAGTCCTAGGGTCCCTCGGTGGCTGGAGAGTCACAGGCTGCAGTCCCAGGGTCCCTCGGTGTCAGGGGAGTCACAGGCTGCAGTCCCAGAGCCCCTCGGTGTCAGGAGAGTCACAGACTGCAGTCCCAGAGCCCCTCGGTGTCAGGAGAGTCACAGACTGCAGTCCTAGGGTCCCTCGGTGGCTGGAGAGTCACAGGCTGCAGTCCCAGGGTCCCTCGGTGTCAGGGGAGTCACAGGCTGCAGTCCCAGAGCCCCTCGGTGTCAGGAGAGTCACAGACTGCAGTCCCAGGGTACCTCGGTGTCTGGAGAGTCACAGGCTGCAGTCCCAGAGCCCCTCAGTGTCAGGAGAGTCACAGACTGCAGTCCCAGAGCCCCTCGGTGTCAGGGGAGTCACAGGCTGCAGTCCCAGGGTCCCTCGGTGTCTGGAGAGTCACAGACTGCAGTCCCAGGGTCCCTCGGTGTCAGGGGAGTCACAGGCTGCAGTCCCACAGCCCCTCGGTGTCAGGAGAGTCACAGACTGCAGTCCCAGGGTCCCTCGGTGTCTGGAGAGTCACAGGCTGCAGTCCCAGGGTTCCTCGGTGTCAGGGGAGTCACAGGCTGCAGTCACAGAGTCTCTTAATGTTGGGGAGTCACAGGCTGCTGTTTTCAGACAATATGCAGTGCTTGGCTGGCTCTCCAATTTAATGCAGAAAAATGAAAAGCCTAACCCAGCCATAGATAAGGAACTGTACTATGGCATCATGGGTAGGCAACCTTCCGCACTCCAGCGCAGCGGTTGTGTTCTATATCTACCCTAACGCTCTTTCAGCCTCTTTCCAAGATCTGGAGTGCCGAAGGTTGCCTAACCCTGTTATAGGCCGAGCATCTGACAAAAGCTGGTACTTCTTATAAAGATACTGGCAAAACTGCAGAATAAGATATCTCTTAAATGAATTAATGAAACACACCAAAAACTCTGCAACTGCACAATAAGTGAACATAATACGACACAATACCAGGAAAATTCTCACAGCAGCAATCCGTTCAACCTGCGCTCTTCTAAACCCAAATACTGCTCTTTATGTGTGGCCCAAAAGGAGCAGGAAAGACTCCGATTACGGCAGCTTTGCCCCATGTGTTTAATTTATTGTGTCCCCTATGTTTGGGGGTGGGGAGAGGAGCGCGAGTGATGTAACTTGAACCGATGCAAACAATAGTCTCTGCTGTGTAACAAACCAGGACAGCGGTGGTTATAAAATATTTAATTTCAGGCGGAAATAAACGAGAGTCCGAGTAAATACGCCTGTTCTCCGCGAGCCACTTTATTAAGCATTGATGACAGGCTGTAAATAATAATGGAATGTGCTAACTGTACTTTTGGCTTCCATCTGCTAATTTCTAATAAATAGCGCTGGCTGCAGCGTTGGAAGAAGAGCGAGCCCTGGCAGTTTAATAGGCAGTCGAGGAAATGCAAAATATAAATCTGTCAGTTTTCCTGCCCCACTAATAACGCGCAGCGTGCAGTCCATAAACCTCCTGTGTCATATGCAGCCATCTCTCAAATATCCCAGCAATCACTGGGGCAAACTCAGAGCCTCTCACTAAGCTCTGCCATACATCACCGGATCTTGCTCTCAAACACGTCTTCCTGCATCGCTATGCACACACAGCTATCTGCTCTATATAACCAACACACACAGCTATC